TGTGAGCTCCCAGGCAGTCCAGCAGCAATTTGCTACAATGCACGATTCATGGGAATCGCTTGCACGACTAGCGTATACCCAATTGAAATGCGTCGGCGTCAGATTGCCCAAGGCGTGGGCGATCCATGTGATCCCGAATATGAAGCGTGGCTTGGTTGCAAGTGACTTAGCAGGCAACTACTGATCTTGAGCAATTGTTGCGCTAAAGCTGCAATCGCATTGTAGCCAATCTTGCCTCCAACGCAGGAATCGACAGACGCACATCGGCGATCTCGCCAATTTTTGGCTCGAATATTAGTTGGCCCACGAGGATGAAGGAGTCGAAAGTTTTCTTCGAACTAAATGTACCAACGATAATAGTTGAGACGTGCTCGTTGAAAACACAAGAAGTCAAAGGTGCAACCGACTTCCTTTGCACTCGTTGCCAACTTGTCCATTGTTGCGATCTTGCGAAAGCCGTCAGCTTCGTAGTTCATACCCGACAACATGGAAACTATGTAATCAAACAAAAACGGTAAGAACGGTCGAGAAATTCAAAATCTTGGCATGATTTAGCTCAGGCAAGGAAAAAGTCAATTTGCATCGATTTCTTGGGTTGCGCTCTATTGCAGTTTACACTGCAGTTAGCTTTTCGAGTGCAATTGAGTATTGCAGTCCGTGGGCTCATGCAATTGGACGTTGGAATTTAAAATTGCCAATACTTCACTTCAACGTCACTTCACATGGCAAGCTCACCTCGCTCTACTTGTAGATATTTCTTCAAGGTATCATCATTTCTTTAGCATGAGTAAATGCAGCAACTGTAGCGTTAGTAGAGTACTGCGGCATAGCATCTCGCGGCATTTACTCCGGCCCACGCATTACTTCATTACGCACTACGTTGCAGTATTTTGCAGTGTGCATGGACAGCAAATGCATCGACATTCTACTAGGTTTTTCTCTTCCTCTGGAAGAGTAGTCCTACACGGCCCAGTCCCACCGTTAGCTGATGGATTGGTAGGCACACGCAGATGAATGAGGATAGCAACGACTTCTACAGATCAGTGCTGCAGTTGAATATTGCAGATTCCACTCCAATTGGGTATTGCAATATCTAGCTTTCATGCAATTGCTCCTTTTGATTGCAATACATATCCGGCGGATAAACCAATTCATTTTTCCCCCTTGCCTGGCATCGAGGTCCTGGTTACTCCGCCAATCGTCCGAAGTCCTGCGTCCAGTAGGTCTTATAGCTTCCGCAAGCTTCGTTCGTGGCCAGGGCAAATCCGACATTGTCAACATCTTCATTGAGAATGTTGGCGCGGTGACCAGGCGAGTTCCACCACGAAGTCATGACGTCTTCCACAGAAGCTTGACCAGCAGCCACATTCTCTGCGGCAGTGGAGTATCTGTATCCTTCTGCTCTAACCCGATCTCCCAGTCTTGCGATCGCTGTGCCTGTGTGCGTCATATTGCAGTGACTCGCTTGATCCTGCGAGTGAAGCAATGCAGCTTTGCCTAGACGATAGTCGATAGTCACTGCAGCAAGACCATTCTGAGCACGAAATAAGTTGACCCGGCGCAACATTTCTGCCATATCTGTAGTAGATACACCGCTTGTGGTCTCATTTATGGTGGTGCGTGAAATCACATAACCACAGATAGCGCCGTAGTTTGTCGTCTTGGAGGAGGGCGTGCCATTCTTAAGCCAGCAGGTGCCGCCGTTATATACGCTCCACGTCCAGTGAGTACAGGTAGCGTCATTGGCACAAACCTCCCCGCACGACTTGGAGATGCCGCTCAGTGAGCGATAGTCGTTGCTCGGAAAGTCGCAATTCTTCGACCACATTACTTTTTCGCTACTGCCGAGCTGGAAGCCCGTAGTGCTCGGTGCTCGGGAGAACGCAGCGACAAGGGATGCGGTCATTGCGAAACGCAGCATTTTGCTCAGCCGGGGCACTGATAATTGTAAGCTAGAACGCGGCTAAAGCGAAATGCGTTCCCTAGTAGCAGGTCGTGCTGTACATCAAATGGAATACAGTTACATGGCCATTGGATAGAACACGTAGAAGCTTCGGTGGGCCTAGTGCTGTTGGTGCAGCTATAACGCGGAAGAGGAGTTGTAATGCCCTTGGGAATACGAGGTAGTCTACACGGAGTAAGTTCTGCGTAGCGTGCGTAGTGTAGAAGAACCGACAACTTCAACGTCATTATGTAGCCATGTACCAGCGCCTGTACCATCCATTTTTATTTGCCGAAAATCCACCAATCACGTTTCAGGTAACGTCAGTCGAAACGTCTTATCGTAAGCCAAACCCATCCAGTTCGCAACAAGCGCAACATGGAGCAGATCTACGCGGGCCAAAGTCTCTTCATCACAGGCGGCACAGGCTTCCTAGCCAAGGTACGTTGCCTCTCACATTGCTTTCACCTCCCCCTAACTTTCTTTACTCACTTTATCCCCTACTTTTCGCGCTGTAGACCGTGATCGAGAAGCTGCTGCGATGCACTCCAGATATCGCCAAGGTAACAATTGCTTAAAATATCAATAACGCCGCTAATTCTCACGCCACAATTGCCGCTGCATTGTGCAAATATGTAGATCTTTGTATTGATTCGTCCCCGCAAGGGTGTGGCGCCAGCTGAGCGTCTACAGAAGGAAATCATCGAGAGTCGCGTCTTCGATCGACTACGAGCCGAGCGCCCCAATGATTTCGAGGCTTTTGCAAGGGAGAAACTACAAGCAATTGCAGGAGACATCACGACGCCCAATTTGGGTCTCAGCGCAGAAGATGCACGGCTATTAAGGGCTTGTGTGCAGATCTCCATCCACTCGGCAGCTACCGTGCAGTTCGACGAGCCACTGGAAGTGGCAGTAGAGATGAACTGTCTGGGATCTCTCCACGTTGCAAAGTTCGTGCAGAGTTGCTCTGGTGTTCGCTGTCATTTGCACGTCTCGACGGCCTATGTGAACAGTAATCGACGAGATGCAAGGATCTCGGAGGAGCTATATCCTCTGGATTTCGATGCCCACGACGCACTGAAAGCTGTGACAACAGCGTCGCCTAGTGAATTGGAGCGACTGAGAGTGAATCTAATGGGGACATATCCTAACACGTACACGCTCACTAAATCCATGACGGAACATTTACTGGTACGAGAGATCGCGCCCAACTTCCCGTTGATTATCTACCGTCCGACAATCATCGGTGCGAGTTGGAAGGAGCCCATGCCTGGCTGGACGGATCAGATCGCTGCGGCTGGTGCTATCTTCTTAGCTGCGGGTATGGGCGTGTTGACGATGCTGCCTGGAGACCCAAGGAACGTAGCAGACATTGTTCCCGTGGACTTGGCTGTCAACAGCATTCTTCTCTCCATCTGCGCAAAGATCCACGAGCATGAGAGCTCGCGTGTTTCTCCTGAACCTCCTTGTCCGCTGGTTAAGGGTGTTGCGATGAACAAACCTATGGTGGTGCATTGCGGGACGTCAGACCCAAGACAGAATCCTCTACGTTGGCGTGTACCATGTGTACTGGTACCTGAGTATTTCCGCAAGAACCCACCAGCACGTGGACTCTTCCCAGCCAAATTTAACATGATCCCGACACACCAAAGCTTCCAGATCCAGTGGTTCCTCACGTACGCACTGCCGTCGTCTGTATACTCTACTGTCGCCAATAAGAGCGGACATCCGGGGCACATTAAAAACGCAGCAAAGCTGTGGCAGCTCACATGGCGCGCACGGAATCTCGTGGAGCTGTTCAAGCCTTTTACCGAGAACCAGTGGATCTTTGTTGCAGACGCTGCAGAGAAGACACTCAGACCGTACGCTACCAAAGACTTTTGGATCGATTCCCACGAGATCGCGTGGGAGCGCTACGTGGTGAACTACTGCGTCGGACTGAAGAAATATATGCTGCATGAGGACGTGATCGACGTGGATATTGAAGGCGTCAACCAGACGCAGCTGGCTCTGAGTACGGGGCGTATTCTGGAATGGGATCCGGACCACCACGCGATCTCGTTCCCTGGACTTCTCTCCGATGTGGCGTGGGCATACACGTCCAGTCGTAAGCCTGGATACACCAAATCTGGTCTTCTGGGTCGAGTCATGGGTATCACCGGGTGGAAAGAAGGCATGAACCACGAAGCTTCACACGTCCCAAGGCCTCATGTTGAGTCTGTCGGTGGTCTTCGCAATAGTGTTCTCGAGTCAGACGTCGTCCGTGCAGCTATTGAAGAGCGCGCTGTGGCTCATGGCATGGATATTGAAGACGTTGAGCGTCAAGCTGCCAGTATACTGAGCACCATGGCAGCACAGCTGGACTACAAGGCCGTACGGAAGTTTGGATGGCTACTGCGAAAGGTTTGCCGGAACATGTACGACCAGATCCACGTAGACGAAACGGGACTCACTCGTATCCGTGATCTGCTGGCTGAGCGACGTGGGAGTGTCGTCCTTGTACCCACTCATCGGTCCTATGTTGACTTCCTGCTCATGAGCTACGTGTTTTTCGCCTACAACATCCCCGTTCCATACGTTGCAGCCGGTGAAGACTTCCTGCACATGGGTAGTCTCACTAAACTTCTTCGGGAGTCTGGCGCCTACTTCATTCGCCGATCTTTCTCGGACGACCCGCTCTACTCTGCTGTCTTCCGTGCTTACACTCAGTATCTTGTGTCAAGAGGACACACGATCGAGTTCTTTATCGAGGGCTCACGCAGTCGGAGCGGCAAGCAGCTTCATCCCAAGTTTGGCATCCTCAATACCGTCGTCGACTGTTATCTGTCGGAGAGAGTCAAGAACGTACGTATTGTATTTACGTTGCTACGTTTCGTTTTGAACTCACATTTGTTTGCATCGTTCTAGCTCTACATCGTGCCCGTGACTATCGACTACGAGAAGCCGTTAGAAGTGCTTTTACACCAGAATGAGCTCCTCGGAGAGGGAAAGATTCGGGAGGTACGTACTTTGTTTATTGTACTGTTTGCACTGTTCTGTACTAATAGGTCTTTGAATTATGTGGGATTACAGTCGATCAGTGCATTATTCAAGTCCATGCCTGTTGTGCGCAAGAAATTCGGCTCCATATCAGTGAAATTCGGTGTTCCTTTGGACGTCAAGCAGCACGTGGACGCAACACTTGCACGCGCTGAAGAGCAGGAAATGTTCGTGTCCACGTCCGCCATCGTCGAGGATCTGGGTTATGCCATTACGGACGCGTTGATTGACAACGCTACGTGTGCTATGTCACACGTTGTGGCTGCTATTCTACTGGTGTACCGTCAAGGAATCTCCAAGCAAGAACTGGTGCGCCAAGCGAACTGGTTGAGACTGGAGATCCTACGTCGTGGTGGTCGAGTCGTGGGGACTCAAGGTCGCTCTCCTACCGTCGTCGTAGACCGCGCGCTGGAACTGCTACACGAACTCGTCACCATGCGACGTAAGGACCTCGTCGAACCTGCCATCACCAGTGTAAGTCGAAGCATTCATGAGAGTTTACTGAGTAAAATGCTAACCTGTTTTATATGCTGCAGCGTGAGCAATACCCCAACATGATCGGTCTGGGTTATTACCGTAACAAGCTGCTGCACTGGTTCAACCGCGAAGGTGTGCTGGCTTGTGCGTACCAAGCTCTAGACGCCTTCAACTTGCCCTCCGGAAGCTCGCAATCAGTATCCAGTAACTCGGAGGCTGGTGTGGATCGTAAGGAGCTACTCGACGGCGCGTTGTTCCTGTACGAGATGCTCACGATGGAGTTCGTTCGCAAGGATGACCGAGAGGCTGATCGTGCGCATCTCATCCAGTCGCTGGCAGAGCTCGAGACTCGCAACGTTCTCGTCCCTGTGGCTTCTACATCATCACGTTTGGAAGCCGCTGACGGTGCGATGTTGTCGCTGTTGAGTACACTCATGTGGCCATTCATCGACAGCTACTGGGTCGCAGTCACGAGTCTATTCGCTTTGCGTCCACACGGAGAAGTCAGCACTGAAGACCTACTTAAGCGTCTGCAATGGCTCGCAGAGACCATGTATCACGAGAAACTCATCAGTTTCTACGAGTCTTGTTCACGTGAGACGCTGCAGAACGCGTTGGCATTGCTGGAGCGATGGGGAGTCCTCTGTAGTCGCCGTCTTCCAAGCAAAGACAAGGGCAATCGCACTGTGAACAAGCCAGCAGTGCAGCTACTGAGCTTAACGTCTCACTACGCGAAGGATGGGGAGCTGGAACAACTCGCTCTACGTGTCTCCAAGTTTCGTAAACTACCGCCAGGCGTTCAACCAGCCACAACCAGCGAGACGGAGGTATTGGCACGCCTACCTGCACTCTCTCGCATGTAGATAAAGAAGAATTGACAAGGTTATAAAGACTAGGCTGGCATTCTGATCATATCAAACTCATGAGGCCTGCTTCGTGACGATAACTACCGTCCTTTTGCCGTGTAAGACGCTTACAGGTTGCCACGGATGCGCTCCGACACGTCGCCGATGCTGTGGTGGGCAGCAGACCAGGCGCAGTGGAACAGACCCTCACGGTCCGTGCGCTCGTACGTGTGGCCGCCGAAGAAGTCGCGCTGAGCCTGGGTCAGGTTGGCCGGCAGACGCTCGCGACGGAACGTGTCGTAGTAGTTGAGCGAGCCCGAGAACGAGGGCGCGGGGATGCCGCTAGCCACAGCCAGAGACACTACGCGACGCCACGAGTACTGACGAGCCTGCAGCTCAGCAGCAAAGTCCGGATCCACCAGCAGCGAGATGAGCGACGCGTCCTTGGCGTAGGCCGACTTGATACGGTCCAGGAACTTGGCACGGATGATGCAGCCGCCCTTCCAGATGCGAGCGCACTCACCCAGGTCGACGTTCCAGCCCATCTGGACGCCAGCCTCACGGATGAGGTTCAGGCCCTGGGCGTACGAGCAGATCTTGGAGGCGTACAGCGCCTGACGCACGTCGTCGATGAGCTGCTGCTTGTCGACAGCAGGGATCTCAGACGGACCCGACAGGATCTTGGAGGCGAACACGCGCTCGTCCTTGCGGGCGCTCAGGTAACGAGCGTCCAGAGACGCAGTGATGGTGGGGGCGGCGATGGAGCGCTCAGCGGCCTCCTGCACAGTCCAGCGACCTGTGCCCTTCATGCCAGTCTTGTCCAGGATCTTGTCCACGACGTAGCCATCGTCGGTGAGGTCGTCCTTCTTGGCGAAGATCTGAGCCGTGATCTCGATGAGGAACGACTCGAGTTCGCCCTTGTTCCACTCGTCAAAGACGCTGGCCAGCTCCTCGTTCGTGAGGCCACCAGCAATCTTGAGGATGTCGTAAGCCTCAGCGATCAGCTGCATGTCACCGTACTCGATGCCGTTGTGCACCATCTTGACGTAGTTGCCCGATCCGATGGGGCCAAGGTACGTGGTGCAGGCGCCGTCGTCCACCTGAGCGGCGCACTTGGTGATAATGGGCTCAAGGGCATCGTAGGCCTCCTTGGGGCCACCAGGCATGAGCGACGGGCCGTTGCGGGCGCCCTCTTCACCGCCAGACACGCCCATGCCCACGAAGTGGATGCCCTTGGGCTCCAGCTCGCTGGCACGACGCACACTGTTGGGGAACCACTCGTTACCGCCGTCGATGATGATGTCACCGGGCTCCATGAACTCCGAGAGCGCGGCGATGGTCAAGTCCACGGGCTTGCCGGCCACCACGAGGATGACGACCTTGCGAGGACGCGCGAGTGAGGCCACGAACTCCTTCATGTCCTTGTAGCCCACAAGCGGGAGGTTGCCCTCGTCCTTGGCGCGCTGCACCGTGGCGTCTACTTTGTCGGGCGAGCGGTTGCACACCGACACCTTGAAGCCGTGCGACGCCATGTTCAGCGCGAAGTTCTGGCCCATGACGGCCAGACCGAAGAGTCCGATGTCCGAGAGATCAGCCATGGCGAATAGATAGAGAAGAGGGGTCTGTGGGGTGGAGGAGCTGAGCTCTGCTGCGCAAAATGCGGAATGAAGTGAGGGGGAAGATCTTTGACACGCTGACGAGGTCCGGTACCCAAATTTGACGGTTTAACAGGGTACGGGTACCCATATTTGGGTTTTAAACGCTGATGACGAGGCCAAACGAGTTTGCCAATTTTCGAGACATGAAAAAGGCTGTCAGCCAAAAGCAAGCTTGGACTTGTCGACGAGCTCTTCCGATGTCCTTCGGCAATGGCAACATCGCTAATGAGGCCGCGCTCTAACTTATCTTACTGCATTACAATAGCTTAGTCTCAGCTAACTCTCTTTTTTTTTTAACGAAAATGTCCTGCGTAGCAAACGATAGCTTAGTATGAGTTAGTGTTTCATTAAGTTTGGCGTGGCAACCCAATGCAATCAAGCAAGGAAACAAAGTCCATTTTTTTCAGATGCGAAAGTACTCTGCTCCTATAATAATAATACGAAGATCGCTATGGATTCGAAGATGTTGCAAGTACCGCAGTAAACGTGAAAAAGGAGCCGAAATCATCGTAGAGCCCCCACTGATTCGCCCTGAGCAGCGAAGACTCGGGATCCGTCCAGGTGGAGAGCTCGATACTACAGTAGCAATTTCGCGACCGCAGTGTGGTGGAAGTTGATTTTCGTTTACGTAATGCTTGGGCTGTGACGGTCACCGTCGGACACCAAGCACCAATATTACGGTGATTTGACAAAGGTTGGTACGTCACTTCTTTTTTGGTCTGCCTCTAAGACAGGTTTATGCGACTTAGGAGACAAATCAAGGCTTAGGACAAAGAAAGAAACATGCATCAAAGGAGGCTTTCGCTGTAGCATAGGATTACAGAATCCGCTGCAAAACACCTGTCTGTCCTCATCACCTGCCTATCCTGGTAATCGCTTTGCATACTCATCCCTATGACGCTCGATGCAGGAATGCGGCATGCACTTGCGCTTTGTATGGTTTTCGTCCGTCCGCAGCTCTTTATACTGCGACGAACATCTATTGCGCGAACTGGTAAAGAGTATGAAATGTGAAAGGACAGGTTCGCTGGCACGTCAACATGGTTGAGATTAGCGCCAACGATACCGATGATTCCGTGCCCAACGCTGATTTCGCACCACGCATGTTCGTCGACATCTTCCCGCAACACGTGCCTGCTGGCAGCAGTGCACTGCCAGTGCTGACGTATCGCCGGCATTCAGCCACTTCCAACTTACATTAAAACAACTACATTGTATCTACTTGATGAACTGGGAGCGCTCAGACATCCAAGGAAAAATGGAGCCTCAAGCAGCAAGTCGGATGGCAACCCGACCGCTATCAGCAAAACACTGCGAATGTTTAAGGGATAATTTTCTTCATCAACGCGCTCCGCGTGTAACAAGGCAGCACAAAATTACACTATTATACATAGGCAAGCTGTTGCTCGGCGAGGCATCGATGGAGACACAACATCAGCCTCGAAAAATGGAAAGTGAAAAGAATGCTTTGTGTGTGCAGCAACTCCTTCGCTCGTCCATCAGTTTGGTTCACTGTGCGACGCATTCTGGAAACTTCCATCGCTATATGATTCGCTAAAATTATTTTCATAGCTCTTCAGTGACCAATCAGACGCTGTTGTAGACGATTGGTGTGCACTGCTCCATCATTTTCACCCAAGACGGCAACTGCCAGAACACGATTTAGAATTGCGAAGTCAAGTGGGTCCTCCACCCAGTGCTTCATGTACTAGAACAGAGGGCGGCTTGGGGAAATTCCCCGGACACCAGGGCAGAGAGTGCCAGCGTCCAAGCGCAGACTCCCTCAGCGATGAAGCTTCGCGAAGATGGTTCGCTACGGTGAGCCGGAGCTTTCGGCGGATTCGCGAGGACTGATGGTCATACTAAAAGTTATGCAATTGGCTCAGCGGCACATGGCGGACGTCGTGCCGTCGCCGCTTGGAGCTAACCCGACGGGGATTACTCATGTTGTGTTCTCCACGACACCCAAGACGAAGAAATTACCACGTGCCTCGACGGCTGTGTTTCTCAACGCGGCGGAGTGAGTGTTTGTATATTTGTACGGAGTAAATGTTTTGCATGTTGCATTTTCATTGGAGCGCGTTGATGAAGAAAATTATCCCTTAAACATTCGCAGTGTTTTGCTGATAGCGGTCGGGTTGCCATCCGACTTGCTGCTTGAGGCCATAATTTTCCTTGGATGTCTGAGCGCTCCCATTTCATCATGATATTGTAACATTTGAGTACAAGGATTAAAAATTGACATGCGCGTCGTTTGAAGGTTGTGCTGTAGTGGTCTTCCTGATGAAACGACAACCTAGTTAATCCATTTCTAATGAGTACTCTCGATTGACTGTTCATGGTTAGAATAGTTAGCTTCTGTAGAGATAAACACTTCACTTCAATATGATTCATTCACAACCCAAACAACTTGTCGTATTCTCTTTCATGTTGTCACTTGGCATCCAAGCCTGGAATTGTTGTTTTGCCAAGTTCATTTTGCTGTTGGCTCAGTTGGTACGAAATGTTGCCACGCCTGAGCACGAAAGTGCATCCTCAACGCTCGTTGCTGGCAATTGTAACTCCGCCATCCAGTTGTGAAGGCAAAGCGGAAAGTTACAATTGCTTGCCGTCACCGTCCGCCCCACCTAATGAAGCTGAGCCGACGCCGCCTACAGTTTCCAACCACACGCAGTGGTTTTACAACTATCCACGCCTCAGCTTCGTCATTCTTTTCATTGTATGCACCTACATCGGAGGCATCTACGTGTCCACAAGAGTCACGTCGTGGACACTTGATGCGCTGGGAGTTCACCAAGAGCTCACGGCCGCGAGAGAAACGTACGTTGCTACGAGCCGCATACTGAACACCATGACGGAGTGTGTAGATCGGAGCTCCTTAGAGTATTTGGCCGGTGCCAAATTGCAATTCGAAGCCGACAGCAAACGTGTCCAGAAAATCATCGACGCAAATGACAAAGTGCTTGCCGACCATCGGAACGTGACCATGACATGTGCGTTCCAGAATGGAACTTTCCACCTCTATACGACTCACTGACACATTGTTGTGCCAGGTTCCAAGGCTTTCTTGTCAACCTTGAAGGAGCAGGTGAAAACGACCACATCGGACGACGCAAACTCGACAATGAGTTGCTTCGCTGACAGTTTTTACGAAAATGTGCCAGAAACTGAAGCTGTATCGTCCTCGAGGGCACTGGTACTTGCTGTGCGTACATTACTGACGACCCAAGCTGTGTCGACAGCAAACGACAGTGTATCTAAGCAGCAATCCAAAATTGAAAACCAGCTTCTGGAAATGTGGAATGCTGTTGACACAGTCAAGACATCAATTGAAAAAACACTCGGAGCAGCAAACACCTTAGCCTCCAAGGAATTGAGCTCACTGGCACCAATACTCTCTAATAGTGACGGGAGTGGCCATACAAAACAGTCAGCCTCTCGGCTTGGTCGTCTAAGCAAAGTCATGTCTTCAGAGCTGTCGGATCCTCTGACTGCAGCATCGTCAACGAGTGTCCAAGCCATACAGAAAGCTGGCCGAACACTTCACAAAGGTCTCGAGTTTCTGGCGGGTTTACACGATGGTTTTACGGACGTCATGAATACAGTCGACGAAACTTGGGGGTTGCTGGAAAAGCAGTTAAATGCCACTATCCGACAGGCAACACAATTGCAAAAAGAACTTCTATACGCTGCTGAGACCACAGCCCAACAGATAAACCACACAAGTGCAGCAGTTATGACGAACTTGAACCAGACTCAACAGGAAATATCCACTTCATTTGACATCTTGCGCGAACAATGGCAAAATGCTGTCAAAAAGTTGGTGGGGGAAGGATTCACACCATGGAAACGACTTGGAGACCAGCTTGTGGCTGAACTCACTGCGAATCAGCGTCAAACTAAAAGGCCAGAGAGCACCATTCAACGCAAATATCTTTTGCCAGACAGAACGTCGAATTCAAGCTTGGAACAAGAGCACGAGAAGCTAACACGTGACGAGAGTCTGCAAAACACAACGTCGTCTGCATCTCCTGATAGTGGTGACAAATTTGACATTGACACTGCGGTGTTGCGTGCCTCACTGGTGGATTTGGGTGCTTTAATAACTCAAGTGATTTTCTACGTGGATGTTGGTCGTCTCACTCTGCTGGCTGCAGACCTGGCAGTTGGGCTCATTACTGAGTCGTACTCTGACATGCCAATGTTGGACATCCGAGGTATCACCACAGTTGACACAATTGGAAGCGTCTGCGAGATTTTTCTTTGCCAGCACAGTTTTTCAGCGGTTTGCTATACCCTTGTGGCAAAAGCCTCGGAGTTGATACGGTTCCTGGTGACGTTCCTTCTGCTTTTCTTCGCTGCGTGCGTTGTTACTGGAATGCTATTCATGTGGAAACAAGACCACATCGCGCATTGCAAAGTTTCTGGTGCTGCCACCTCACCAACAACGATTCAGAGTATCACCCGAACATATTTCGAAAACAATGGCAACAGTAGCAACACTGTCGGCAATCCACTTGATGAAATCCTAAAGTACACCACTATTATCAACGATTCAATCCACAATGACTACACCGCATTAGAGCTGGACGTTGCTGTTGTGTGGAAGAATCAATCAGCATTACTTGAGGATTCCAGTGACTGTGCGACAACTACGAGCAGTTTGGTTCGAATGCTTCAAGACTGCACGGGACAGACTAGCGATAATTGGCTGGCTTCCGTTGATGATACGTCTCTTTCCAGTCAGTGTTTGACAAGCACACTCAGCAACACGTCGGAAATCGTGACTCCTTCGTCCACTGCGGAGAAATTGAGTGAAAAAGCGCCATTTCTAGAACCATTAACTGCATTCACACAATGTTTCCCAGAAGAAGTGCTGCAAATGGGACGAGAAGAAGTTGTAGCAAAGCTACAGCACAACCTCGCCTGTGCGACTGAAAAGGCTGTGTATCTATCATGTGCTTCGTGGTGGCTGTTGATCATCATCTTCGTTGCGAACCGCTTCACCGTGAGGATGATCATTAAAGCAGCAGGTGTCTACTGGTGGCGCTTTCTCAGTGCCAATCGACTGGAATTCGTTGGTTTCTGCCAGGAAGATGGAAATATCGTGGCGAGTGGCAAATTGCCGAATGCAATTCAGCAACACTTGCGCGCAGCGAAGTGGCACATTATCGGTCGCTTTGTTGGCATCGGTTGTACCTTTACTTGCATCATCGCTGTGATCTTCATTGCTTTCCATGGAGTTGCTTAGGATGCATTTTAGCAAACGTTCATCAAAGAAAACTAGAAGAGGCTATATTCCCGTTGAACTCTGCATCAATTCAAAAATGAATCGTGTCCATTTGGATGTGATGTGTTGAAGCAATAGATCGCACCTGATTCCCCACTTCCTCATCCGCGTTCAAGCACCGAAAAGGAAACTGATTCCCCTCTCATGCGCGTGGTAGGAACGCTAGCGTCCGCTCTACTGGCGGCGTCCGCATCGGCTTCTTGCGACCCGAGCAAGTGGACGCCTCCCTCCGATGGCGTGTACAACACGACGAGTCGCGTGGACCCGAACAAGCTCAATGTTCACCTCATTGCGCACTCTCATGACGACCCTGGTTGGCTCATCAGCGTGGACCAGTACTACACGCAAAGAGTGCAATACATCCTGGACACGGCTGTGGAGGAACTCGTACGCAACCCGGACCGCCAGTTCATGTACGTGGAGCAATCATTCTTCCAGCGTTGGTGGCACCAACAAGGCTCCGAGGTGCGTGGCGTCGTCAAGCAGCTCGTGCGCGAAGGCCGCTTGGACCTGACGGTCAATGGCGGCTGGTGCATGCACGACGAGGCCACTCCGCACTATATCGCCATGGTGGACCAGACAGCGTACGGCCATCAACTGCTCATGGACGAGTTCGGCATTAGTCCGCGTATCGGCTGGCAGATCGATCCGTTCGGCCACTCGGCTACGCAGGGCTCGCTGTTGTCTCAAGGTGTGGGCTTCGACGCGCTCTACTTCGCACGTATCGACTACCAGGACTACGGGAACCGCAAGAAGAACAAGGATCTCGAGTTTATCTGGCGTCCCAGCAAGTCACGCGGCAAGGCATCACAAGTGTTTACTGGAGAGATCATTGATCACTACTGTCCACCGGGAAAATTTGACTTTGGCAACAACGGCAACCAAATCCAAGACGACGCTGAACTGCACGACTACGACGTGTGTGACGAGGTCGAGCAGTTCGTGAGCAATGCCAAGATGCGCGGCGACCATTCTAAAGGCAACCACGTGTTCATTCCCATGGGCTGCGACTTCCAGTTCGACAATTCGCTTCGCTGGTTCAAGAATATGGACAAGATCATTCACTATGTGAACCAGGACGGCCGAGTGAATGTGCTGTACTCCAACTTGTCATACTACACGGACTTGAAGCGAGAGGAAGGACTCTCGTGGAGTGTCAAGACCGACGATTTCTTTCCCTATGGTTCGGCCCAAGACGACTACTGGTCGGGCTTCTTCACTAGTCGACCGACGTTGAAGCGGTTTGCACGTGTGGCGAATACTTTACTGCAGCAAGTTCGTCAGCTTGACGCTGTTTATCAAAGCCATCACTCGGCCCCTTTGGACGCATTGCAACGCGCTGTGGGTCTCGTACAGCACCACGACGGTCTCTCTGGAACTGAGAAGCAAAGCGTCGCTGATGACTATTCGCTGCGTCTGAATGACGGCATCATCAAGGCCGAGAAGGAGTTGAACGAAGTGCTGTTCGTGATCGGAGAGAAGGAGCCGTACCACTTGTGTCTCCTAGCCAACACGAGTGTGTGCGACGTGACCACTCAGAACGCCAACTTTGAAGTGGTGGTACACAATGCACTGGCACGTACGAGTGTGCAGACGTTGTCGATCCCTATCACGCACAAGTCGGCGGAGCTGTCGCTGCTGTCCGGGAATGCCAAAGTCCGTGAACAGAATGTCTATGTGGCGTTGCCAGTGCACCCTGAAGTGCAGGTGGCTCCCTACTCGTTCGTGTTTAGTGCCGAGCTCAAACCGTTGAGCACAACTCGATTCCTGGTTAAGCAGAAAGATCTCGTCGATGAAGAACCGGTTACTGACAGTGTGGATGATAATGACGACGTGGTTGTGCTGGAGAACCAACTGATGCGAGCGGAGATCAGCAAGTCCACGGGCTCCATCACGAAGCTCGCCAACAAGAAGAAGAACATTCAAATCCCGCTGTCTCTTGATGTCGCGTACTACCAGGCGTTCCAGGCCGACGGTCCCAAGTCTGGCGCGTATGTTTTCCGTCCTGACTCGAACAAGACGTACCCTGTCACAGGCAAAATGTCGACACCCAACTCGTTGCCGGACGTGGAGATGGTGGAGCTGCATGCTACCGGTAGTCGCACCAGTGTTCCGCGTGTGGCATTCAAGATCGGCAACTGGGTGACGCTCGAGTACCGTGTAAACGACAACGACGAGTTCCTGGAGATCGAGTGGACCGTCGGACCTGTGCCCATCGACGATAAGAAGGGCAAGGAGGTGATTCTGCGCTTCGATGCTGGCAAGAGCATCGCATCTGACGCTACGCTGTACACGGATTCGAACGGCCTTGAGTTCATGAAGCGTGTGCGCAACCACCGCGACACGTGGAACTTGACTTTGCACGACAACCAGGAGGCGGTGGCGGCCAACTACTTCCCCATCACTACTGGAGCGTACATCAAGGACGCCAAGCACCAATTGAACGTGGTGACGGACCGTGCGCAAGGAGCAGCGAGTCTAGTGGATGGTCAGGTGGAGGTGATGGTTCATCGTCGTCTGTTGGCTGATGACAACAAGGGAGTGAGTGAACACCTGAACGAGACGGAGTCCGTGTACGACTCGGCCACGAAGAAGCAAGTGACGAAAGGTCTGGTGGTACGTGGCAACTTCTTCATCAACGTGGACTCAGCGGAGGACGGTATGCGCAGTATCCGCTCGAAGATGGAGTCGCAGTTCTTCCGTCCACTGACGATATACCGCAAACCGGTTCCGTCGGAGGTGGAGGCGAAGGTGCCGTGGTTGACGGTGGGCGAGTTCCCTGAGAACGTGGGCTTGACGACGTTGCAGGAGCTGACGAAGCAGTGCTTGATGGTGCGTCTGTCGCACTTGTTCGCTGTGGACGAGCACTCGACTTTGTCGAAGCCTGTGACGGTGGACTTTTCGACGTTGTTCTCAGTGAAGAATTCGGCGGTGTCGGAGGTGACGGAGCTGGTGCTGACTGGCACGAAGGAGCTGGCTGTGGAGGAGGAGGGAGTGGGCATGCAGTGGAAGACCACGGACGACACGTATGGATGGACTCCTCGCTCGCTGCCAGTGAAGGGCACGTCGGTGACGTTGCAGGCGATTGAAGTGCGTGCTTTCCGCGTGTGCTTCGCGAAGACTGCTGGTTCTGTTACTGTCGATGAGCCGGAAGAGGACAGCTACGGTGAATCGCTCGGTGCTGCGCTGCAGGACCTGGCGGAAATCATTGCGTATGAGTAAGAAACGACCACCGAGAATTCGCCGAGCTATATGAGCAAATAATGTGTGTCGATGAATAACGAATTACTCGACTTCTACTTTGGTGAAGACAGGTTCATTTTCGTTCACGAGCCTCGCGTGGAAGGATCAACGCTTTGTTCGCCCTACTAAAGGCACACGCTTGAGTGAATTTACTGATTGTGAACCCTTTTATCGCCCAACGATAACTTGTTTACTAAAAAAATCCAAGCTCCGTCATCTTCAATTCCAGAGAATAACGCAAATAATGCCGCTGGAATAGATTTATAGCAGCGTTGAGTTCTCCTCCGCGCTAAAGCAGTGGCTGGTAAATAGACGCATCCACTGGATGACATCCAGTGCTGGCTGGTGGTAGATTTCACTTCAACTTTTCATCTAAAGATCGCGGAAAATGTCGATTCAATTTTGAATCGCGCATGTGCGTGGTTGAAGTGGTCTGGCCAATCACACAGGACGGACCACTATTCGAGTGGGTCCGACCACCATTGCCCTGCATGTCCTGACGCAGCGGCATGCGCCGATCGCACCGTCGTCAATGCACGGAGCTTTGCCTTCCATTGACTCCATACAGGCACGCGAGACTGCAGCTCGCCACGGCCACACAGAACCAATTTCTAGCGGTTGCCAACCGTGCAGTCGCAAGGAAATATCCACCACGACGTTTTGATGGTCGACCAGCGATGGATTGATGGGATATGTTTCTGGATACGGGCTAAATCTTGAAACGCCGGCGGTGTGGTCAACCGATGATGCGCCGGGGAAACGGTGGCGCTGAGTGCTTTGCCGACATCAACTGTAGGCATCAAATTCACGGCAGAGCCCTGTGTATTTGAGCCCTGCATATTGGCGAGCAGAGCGCGGGCGCTGCAGTCGCCTGTTCGTCGAACCGCCATCAGATGATTCTAAAATGCAGCAGCTGGGTGCTTGGCGCCACAGCATCTGAAACTGCTTTACAGGCTGGAATTTCTCCACCCTTGCCACGGCATTGAGTGAGCTGATAGCGATATGTTTTCTGCCGCGCCACCTTGGTTCGTTTACAGCACCTGAGACGTCGTCCACCACGGCGCCGACCGCATCGTAATATCGGATGTCTCTTTGGCTTCCTAGAAAGCCTCGGTCTCACTTTGCGTTTGACTCTTCTATAGCCAATTGAAGTGTTTGGAATTCAGCATCTCTGTCCAACTTCTGAATCAGCTCCCCCACCCCTACAGCGCTCTATTGGGGGGACCAAGTCTCCCATCGCCGTTTCGTCGCGCTCACTTCGCGATTTTCTCCGTCGTCGCCATAAGCTGCTAGAAAGCTGCGACGCTGTACAGGTCCGCAGTGTAGACGTCGCCATGCCGCTTCTATTGAGGCCCACGGCGCCCAGCCCCAGCATCGATGAGCTTGCCTTCGCAGTGACGGCGGCTCCGCTCTCTTCTCAGGCCTCGCAGCGCTCCGTGTCTTCAGCCGTATCCGAGCTACCGCGGTGCCCCACGCACGGCCGAATCTCGCTACGCCGCCGCCGCAGCACCGCAGGCACTGAAACAGATCTACACAGCTGCACGGAAGAAGCCTGCCAGGACCTAGAACACCAGTCGATACCGAGATCCAGCCAGCAGAGCATGCGAAGCAGTGGTATCCTCAAGCCCAAGGACTCGGAGAAAGCTTTCCGCGATTCGAAGCGCTCGTCACATGACACGCAGCTCGATGAAGATCGCATGTCCAGCGATGGTAGCTATGCGTCTGAGGCTGAGCGCGTCTCCAGCGTGCTGAGCTGCGGATGCTCGTGCGCGGACGCCAACGAATTCGCCATCACGTCGTCCACCGTCGTCATTGAAGACCGACAGCTTGCCGTCGTGGACAAAGAATTGCGCGATTATCGCAAGACTCTTGTGCGTAAATTGTACTCGCGCCTGACGAAGATCTCGGGCCTGGGACGCAGGAAACCGTCCACGGCCAAGCCGGTTTTTTAAATGGAGCGTCTACTTGGACATCGGGAATCCTGTAGATGCCCGTTCATGGGCGAAGTGGCTAGAAAGAGTAGATTTTTGCCAGGGCGAAGCTGCCCACGCCCTTAAATATTTATCATAAATTGTTTTGAGTTGCTTCGTGATCCGGCGCAAGTGTCTTACATGTTGTACTACAGAGCTCGTTGGACAGGGGGGGGGGGACCAAAATGAAAAGCGGGGCAGGACCTCTGCTTCGCTTTTTATTTTGCCGCAGGAGTACGTTGATGGAACATTGCGGTGCAAAATTTGCACCCGTATCATCTACATCAGTCATCAGCTACCAGCAGCTCGTGAGGAAACAGAAGACAACTCCAGTCGTGCGTGATTTCAATTTTGAAGATATGAGTCAGAGTTTGATTCGAGTGGCCGCTGGCCAAACGCATGCGCTGCCAACGGCTTCTTCCGCCGCTAAAAACTACATCGCAGCGCCGTCCAGGGCTGGCCATTATGCGTCGAAAGGCTTGCGGTTGGAACGGCGGACGTGCGCTTGATACATCATCGTAAACACCACCGACAAGACGAACACTAGCGCCACCACGAACGCAATCAGCTGCGATTGCATTATCTGTTGCCGCAAGCAAATCAAGACACCGCAAAGCTGCAGCGTTAGTGCAATTGGACATCTAGAGAGCAGCGGCCAGTGGGACGTACCCGTTGAGTGCTGGCTTCTGCGACTTCGGATGGTTTCTTGTGCTGGCGCTTGAGACGCTCGCTCATTTTGGAGTAGCGCTCGCCGCTGTAGATGGTGGGGCCAAGCGCAACATCAACGCCACGTTGGCCCTGCTTCGAGGCGCCCGTAGCTCGGTTCCGCAGCTCCATGGTCGGCTGTACGAATGTGCTGTCGAAGGCAAGGTGACGACGGCAGTTCGCGAAGTTGGATTTGACGTCATAAAGCACTTTTCCTGAAAAAAAGTTCTTGCCTTGACTTATGGCCCACCATAATAAAAGTGGGCCGAAACCAATACGCACTTTTCTATACAAAGTACTTTTTTGAAGGTAACTTGATCTATTATTGGGCAAAAAAAATAATTTTGGCGAATCAGAATGTTGATGTGAAATGTCGCGTGAAGCGCTGCATCCCACCATCGTCAGTTCTTCAGTGCTGGAGCTGCGTCTCTATCGCTGAGCCTCCCCCCTCCATCTCCTCCCCCTTTTGACGTTCCCTGCATTCTGCCAACATGAGCGAGTGGTGGGCGACTATCGGCCACCCCTTCGCGGAGGTGAGCGCCGTTTCTTTCGTTATCGGATTTCACAGGCCCTATAATGATCTACTAATGATTTTGTGCGAATGATAACCTGCTAGGCGCTGCTGAGTCTGGATACCGTCAAGATCAAGGCGGCATTCGCGAACGCGCCCAGCTCCTACTACGAGTACATCCGCTCCATCTACGAGCGCAGTCCCGAACACGTGATCATCGAGACGTTCCTCATCGTATTCGTCATCTACATCACGTTCGTCAAGCGTGACAAGCCCAAAGGCGCGGCCGCAAAACTGTCGGAGCGCGAGATCGATGATCTGTGCGAGGAGTGGACTCCCGAGCCCATCATCCCGCCCAACGCCGTCGTGGACGTCAACAAGTCCAAGCCTATCGGTATCGTCGAGGCCACGCCCGACACGCACATCAAACTGCAGGGCTATGGCAAGCCACTGCTCAACCTGGCCACCTTCGACTTCCTCGGCCTAGGCTCGCGCCCTGAACTCAAAGAGGTCGCTGTCAAGACACTCACTAAGTACGGCTGCGGCTCCTGTGGACCTCGTGGTTTCTACGGCACTATCGACACGCACGAGATCCTCGAGAAAGACATCGCGCAGATGATGGGAACGACCGACTCGATCACCTTTTCGGACACGGAAGCCACCTCATCATCAGTGTTACCGGCCTTTGCTAAGCGCGGTGACCTCATCGTCATGGACGATGGCTGCAACGACTCGATCCTGGTGGGCGCTAACCTGGCACGCTGCACTGTTCTCTACTACAAGCACAACGACCTGGAAGATCTGGAGCGTGTACTGAAGAGCGTGCGTGACGAGGATAAACGGAAGAAGCGCGGCTCGGACTGCCAACGCCGTTATGTTGTGACCGAGGCGCTTTTCCGTAACCACGGCGACATGATTGACCTGCCTCACATAGTGGAGCTGTGCAACAAATATTTCTTCCGTCTCTTCCTGGACGAAAGCTTTTCGTTCGGTGTATTAGGCAAATCTGGCCGTGGACTGACGGAACACTACGGTATGGACGTGTCGGAGGTGGCTATCATCTGCAGTTCGCTGGCTGGTTCTACTGCCAGTGTGGGCGGCTTTAGCACGGGTTCGCAGGAGGTTGTGGACTACCAACGTATTAACAGTGCCGGCTACGTGTTCTCGGCCTCGGCCCCACCTTTCACGTCTGCCTGCTGCTCAGAAGCCATCCGCATTATGAAGAACGAGCCGGAGCTCTTCACCAAGCTTCGTGACAATGCTAAGCTCGCGCATGACTCTCTGTCTGCAGGCGTTCAGGGCGTGTACAGCCTCTCCAAGGCTGTTGTTTCCCCCATCCTGCACCTGCGTCTATTGCCTGAAGTTGTGGCTCGTGTCGGTAGTGAGGAGAACCAGCGTGCTCTGCAGCGTAAAGTGTGCGATACGGTTATGCAGAAGTGCCTGGCCAAGGGTGTGGCTATCTGCTCGCCGCGATACAAGACCCACCAGACGCTGGAGCCGCTGCCCAGTCTTCGTGTGTCTGTGACTGCTATTCACTCGCCTAAGGAGCTGGAGGCTGCGTGCAAGATCATTGCCACGGAGGCTATGGCTACGGCCAAGGAGGTTCTCGCTAACTTTCCAGTGGACGCCGCCCCTGCCAGTGGACTGCGACAGCGCAAGCAGTAAGTAGGTTGAATAGCCGCCATAACAACAGACGAGGGTTAACTTCTCTGTTCTAATGAAATGCTGACGCTTACAGAGGTGGTTAGTGCAGCTAGTGCAGGTCTAATTGGCCTTCTCTTCATGCAGCATTTCTTTCTCGCGCCTCTTGCGGTAGATCTCGAACTGCTCGTCGTTGGTGTATTGATGCAAGCAGGCGTTGAGCGCCTTGTTGTGGTCACGGCACTTGAAGGCTACCATGAGACCGTTGGCCTTCGCGCACTCGGCAAACTTCTCCGACACGCTGCGGCACTTGGCGATGGCGATGTCACTCAACTCTTGCTTCAGTTTCTACTCAACAGTAACAACCCTTAGCTGCAATAAAATACTAGAGTTAACGATGGCTGCAGAACGCACGTGCTCAGCCTGGTTGCTCCAGGACAGACGCGACGAGCGGAACTTGGCCTTGGCTGTCTCCTTATCAACGGGCTGCTCCATGATGACTCGCGTTTCAATTATGCGGTCCAAGATGACTGCGTTTCCAGCCACACTTATGCCTATTGAGAGGAATTCATTTTGAGAGGATATCTACTTTACACCGGCCACCCTTATTAGGGGGTATCAAAGTACTCATAAATGAGGTTTTTAGGCAAAAGAAGATCCTTCAACCAAACCAAAAATGGGATTCGGAAGTTGGGCTAATAATTTGCTCGGCTGATTTTTTTTTGCTGGGCGGTCTTTATTAGAGGTGTCAACATTTGGCTTTTGAAGGTTTTTAAACAGTGGCTGAACCAAACGTTGTACCTGAAGGATTTTGTTTCGTAAACCTTCTCTCAACCGAGCTTCAACCGGTTCCGGGCTTACGTGAGAACCAAAAGCACTAATGCAGAGTTCCGTTCGTAACAAAAGACGCAAGGCCGGGCAAAGATCTCGAACCGGAGGCCCCGATTTCATCTCGAAACGATGAGGCGGCTGGGAGTACTCTTTATCGCATGAAGAAATCGCATCGGCCAAAGATCTGGCAGGTGGTGCTGATTTAGTGAAGCCAAGTGTACCTAATTTGTCTCCTATATACAAAGTCAAGATAATGTTTAGGTCAGGTTCAGGATCTGTTTGCGAGCATAACCTACGAATTTATAACGCTCACGTTGAATCCATTCTGTTGCCTAAACGTTGACACCCTTAGTCTTTATTTTACCGAATAACTGGTTGGTAGAAGAGGTAGGCAGTATATGTACTAGGTGGAGCTCCGCAATATGGCGCCACACAAGATAGGTGGTGGCTATACGTCGCTACTTCAAAAGCACTACATGGTCGAATGGCTCAAGGGTCCGACGGATTTTAACATCATTTTAGGTAGAAACGTCGGGCAGTGACCGAGTGGGTTTCGGCGGAGCACATACTGAACTTTCCTGATTTGGCAAGATGTCGGAGTACGTGTTCACTTCATGTGTCAAGACCTTTATCGACCAAGGTGAGCCTATTCCAGCCAAATACCCAGTCAAGTAGGATGCCCGCACATGCCAAAGCAGGTGGGTGTTCAACTTTAAGACATACAAGAACACCAAGACGCGTCTTGACAGCCAAACCGGATTTGGCTTAGACGAGAGTCAGAATACTGAAGGCAAGACGCTAGAGAAAGCTGTAGAAGAAGCCTGTCCGCTCTATTATGTTCTGGATTACCTTTTTGGCAAACGCCAAAATGTACAGCCATCCGCGCAAGCCAACCCCATCCCCCAAGAAACTACTGTTTAGGGGAATTCCACCACTACTTTGCTGAAGAACGAATACGCTAACTGGAAATCCAGTGAGGTTAGCACGAACGACGGTACCGCTTTCTTTGCTGCTGAGGCAAAGGACGACGCTCTCGCAACTAGCCAGCTGTCGCCTTCGACTGTCACATCGTCCAGCAGCACAACAACCATGACGTCCAGTAGCACAGCAAATCCGGCGTCTACAAGTAGCGCTCAAACGCGAAGACCACGCTCAATCAACAAACGTATTGGGGATACAGCCTCGCGATCAGCAAAAGATATCGGCAGTGGCAAACCAACCAGGCCAGGAAGCGAGATTGTACCTCCACGTTTCGAGAGTTTAGCGAGAAGCGACCGGAAGCGGAGAAACATTTGCGACGCGAAGAGCTTACGGAGTCCAGGGCAAGTCACTTATCGTCTCAAGAACGGGACCAACTGGATCGAAACGAAAGTCAATAAGAACGTTGTCTATGTTTCAAGGAAACTCACACCCAGATGCGCAAGGACATATTCATTCAGATGCTAGAGCAAGGTAAACCCAGGACGACGCTCTGGCAATTATTAATCACATCCTTCCTCTATAGACAAACGATCTTGGCAAGAACTGCTGTGAATAACCCAACAGCGGTGGAGTTGACAAGCCTCACCATTCTTCTTTCAGGTTACCATTTACCAGTTCATCAATTACCGAAAATTTTGTCCATGCACTATCTCCTTGTCTTCTGTGAGAGTTTCTTGTTAAACGCTGAGCGACGAGCAGTTCGAACCGTCGATGCTTGTCAGTTGTTTAGCGACGATGAGACGTAGCATGTCTTTGGCTGCAGCGTGGCCTCGATTGGCAGTCATCATGAAGCAAATCTTGCCCTTTGCATTCCCTTTGACAGTACGAAAACTTGTGTAGCACCCGCTTGGCCAACACGATCACCATTGCCGTGTTCAGTAGTGAAGGGCGTCGAGCAACCCGTCTAGAGCCCCGTCAACCTAGACAACGCAGTTCTTCTCATGCTCAGCAATTCCCTGCATTCAAAGCCGAACCAGCGTGTTAGCTGCTCTTCTCGGCGTTGTTATACCATTGCCTGGCGCTTGGCACTATCCCAGCAAGAGTCGTTATCTCCAGCTCACGTGCTCTGCTGCAGCTCACGTTGCTACGAGCGAGGCTACAGATCGCATGCTCTGTAGTGCGACGAGAGAGTTGGGCTGGTCAACAGTGATCTAAACCTCTGCGCTCCACAGTGAACAACGTAATTCGCTCCATGTCGTTAGTCTAACCGCAGTCTTGCCATAGTGTGGATGCCCTGGTGATGTTGACTCTGTTGACACGCTCGATCCAGTTTGGTCACCAACAGTAACTCGCCACACTCGCCTTCATCACGTTATCCATCTCTCGCAGCAGAAACTCAGAGGTGGCCACGGTGGTAGTGCGCAGCAGAGCTAGTCGAACACCACACACGCGAAGGTTTACCCTGGTGGATAAAGCTCGTGGGTCGCAGTACAATCTTGACAAGTTTCTTGGGCAGGTACATTTCCAGAGCTCGAACCATAGTGTCCGCACTTCCACTAGCTCTCTGTGGTCGCGTTGGCGCAAAGCGTAAGGTAGACGGTCAGCGAGATGCGCAGGTTGAGCGAGTACTAAATCATCCCTCACTCTGGCCTTCCGATTACCACAAACATCACCAGTAACAATCAGTTCATTCCAATCCACGAAGTCCTAATACACAATTGCCAAAGACGCAGCAAAACGTATCAAACTTAAGCTGAACAACGCATGAATTGCGATCTAGTAAGCCGTGTTAAAACCGTATATGAGCCAACAGAACCCAGTGGATCGTTGATAATGAAGCCAGGCGCATTTCCTTACTTCGAGACGTATCGAGCTCCAACACAGCTTTCGGCACAAGAAGCTTTACTGTCAAGTTTCACATAGCCATAAACGAGAATATTTCCACTTCGCCTAGCCACAGCCTAGTAGGTATCGAAGTCTACCCAACGTTCGGGTCAGTTTCGGGTAAAATTCTACACATCAAGTAAATAGAGCGGGTTGGGTCACATTGGAAGCGATCTCGATATCTACTTTGACGTACAGTAAATGTACCTTATCGTTGACACACTCTTCGCTCGACATAAACCGTTGGAGCCCTTAAGAAGCGCTACACAGCGTGCGCTTTGACATATCACCGTTTCCTACCTGGCATGCTTCCAGGCAATAGTACTGACTCAATACGCCGTGATGGAAGTGGTGTGACTTGGTTGTCACATCTCGTACGCTTGATACGCCCACACGACAAACGACTTGGCCAATTACTAACTGATTTCCAGCGCAGAAAATGCCTACGGTAATAACGTAGCCAAAAGCCGCGATGACAAATACCATACCCAACAAGCGCGTCTTTCGCCGCACTTTGTTGTGAATACCCCCACAAGCGATAACCGTTACTGTTCCTCCTGCTGTGATAGTCAATGGTCCTCGCCTAGCATAGCGCATTTCACTTGCTCTCTCAGTGCTTGGCCTGATGCCGTTACTATTCACGCTGCTGGTTGGTTTTGGTCTTCGGGTGTATCACCTCATTCGTCCTCAAACGGCTTCCCGTCACTGCAAAATTGTGTAACACAATATACGCCATACATTGATCGTTGATCCACTAAACATCTGTTTTTTGCTTGACTTGAATGCACATGCGCTTGAGGAATGCCCATTGATTCCTCAGTTGCCGATGCAGTTTCATTCACCCCACGAGCCGATGCAAGAATCGTATTAAATTCTGCATTATGCGGAAGGAAATCTTCTGGTTTTTTTTAGAGTACAAGCATTCGTTCTGTTAGCGGGTAACTGGAGTCGCCACACAAGTATTGTCCACTCGTGAAGAAAAGCTCAGATTGCCAAGAAATGTAGGAATTGGCTAAGACAATGCTGTCTGCGCAGAAACCTGGCCAGCCGACTAGCGCGTACGCTTGTCCTCGTTGTACACAATCATGACATTTAAAGACAAACGCTTCTTTTTGTTGAAAAAATCTCACTATCCACATCAGGTTTCTGACCACAGATAAAGTGTGCTCCATCCACAAATGCAGCCGCACCTTCCATTTCAAATCGTTCACTGTAAAACTTTCCGGGTTACTTCGCGATTGTATCTGTCAGACCAAGCTACGTAGTCACTGCAGTGTTTCTTCAAGGCAGTCACAACGCGCTTCGCATTTAGTGTTACAACCCCTGATGCAATACCATACGTCCGAGCAATTCTTACGACCGAGCTGCGGTTTTTATATGAACCGAGAAACTCCAACGTTACGCTAAGCTGGATACTAATTGGGCGTGGCTGATTCAAATTTGCGCTATCGAGAACGTCGTCACGAGCGACAATCACAACTCGTTCCACAAACACAGTATTTTTGCCTCAAAGAGCTTGCCTAAACTCACTGTTAGTATGGCAAAACACTAGCTCGGAATAACGGACACTTTCTCGATAGAACTCGGGTTGATATGATAGTGCATTCTAGTCATACACGATAACCAAGTTATCAACTCGTCTGCGTGGGTATCAATCCACTGCGCTTCGCCATTTCTCCAGTGAACTGATGTCTGATCACACCTATCAGAACAAGCTGTTCTGGAATCCAAATGTCCATCTTTCACCACTCAATGTGCAGCGGGGTTGCCGTAGCTAAGCGTCAGAGGAAGACGTACGACTCAAAGAGTCTTTAAAATAAAGTTCCTTACCCGAAGGAAACTTGCACAAGAACCAGCGCTCAAAGCTATTAAGAACAGTAGCTACTTTATGCTTCCAAAGTAGAAGTGTTTTATTTATTTTTATTGCGGCCAAACCGCTATCTATGCTCAACTATCTACCATAATTAAACCTAATCGCACCGTGACCCTCATCCTATGTACTGATGTCACTGTTAATTCTACGAGTCATGCACAGAGAGTTTGTTATCTCTTCGGTACTCCGTACCCATGTGTGCGCCACACCCGTGTAACCCCATTACGGCTGTGATCTATTTTTGAGTGTAGAACATACTCTGGAATCCGTGACGAGAGGGTATCGCCTTCGATTATTCTACTGCCTAGCAGAACGATCACTGATGAGCTCGTCATTGCAATCAGTAGTATGGAACCGGGTACTCTTCGAAGGATTTAAAGCAACCTCATTTGGATTTTCCAAACGAATAATATCGTGCAGCAAACGATTTCTGGACAACCTATGATGAATTGACAATGATTAGTCGTATGAAATACGAAACTATTAGCCAAGTGTATTGTACAGTCTGGTGCAAAATTATAGCCGCACCCGAAAAGTTTATAGATTGAGATGAAAAAGTTATTTTCGGAGTTGTTTATGGTCTTTGTTGTAACGTGTATGATGGTTTAAAGTAATATGCCGCTGGATTTTGCAGAAGAAAGTTGCATTCTTAAGACATACGAAAAAAGCTTTTTTTGGACTGGTGCAGAATTATAGCCGCACTACCTTCAATTCAAATTAGTAGTCAATAGGGGCCCCTCGACGCAGAACTACTTGAACAATCCGTGTTGGCATGCTCTTGACAAGCGTTTGAATGTAGTCCTGAGGGGTTTCTTCCCAGCATTTCAGGATATGTTGCTTCAACTCAGATGCTGTGTCAAATTGACGTCCTCCGGCGTATACTCGGCGGGCTAGCACACCCCAAACGTTCTCTATAATGTTCAAATCGGGACTTTTAGCTGGCCATACCATTGTAGACACCTCTTCTTCCCGAAGGAAGTCCTGGGTCCGGCGTGCTGAGTGAATGGAAGCATTATCATGCTGGAAAATAGGTCTCAACACGCCCTGTCCGGCGCGAAGGTTTTCGAGATAGGGAAGCAGACTTCCACGAAGCGTCTGTGTGTAATCGTTAGAGTTTTGCCGCCCCTCCAACACCACAAGCTCCGTTTTCCCGTGCCAGCTAACGCCGGCCCAAATCATGACGCTTCTCCCGCCACCTACACGCTTAGAAAAGAGTTCGGGGTCTTGGCGAACGTCGTGCCAGTAGTAACGATAGCCGTCTGGGCCATCTAAATTACATTTCTTTTCGTCTGTGAACACAATACGCCTCCAGAACATGTTCTTACCGATTTTGTTTTTAGCAAATGCTAGTCGAGCCTTCTTGTGGTGCTTCTTGACTGCAGGGGCAGGTTTTCGCTTGGCAAACTTGGCAAACCTGGACGACTTGAGTACTCTTAGCACTGTCGAGTACTTAACAACGCCTCCCAGGTCGGAGACGATTTCCCTCGACGACCTTCGCTTGTGAATCGCGAGTCGAAAGATGCGCCTAGCATCTCGACGACTCACTTTGAGTCTTCTACCACGCTTCTTTGGGGGGCTGATGCTGAGTCGCTGCTTCCGGTAGTTGGGTATAGCCTTCTCGTTGCGTCCCAGCTTGGTTGCAATAGCTCTATTGCTTTGATTGCAATTTATGTAGGCCGAAATCATGCCCTTCTCCTCTTCGGACAGATATTTGCCTTTTGGCATGTCAGCCCGAGTGCTTAAGGCGCGAAATGGCGCCAAATGACTCCGAGGGTGTGTCTGTTTTTCATACAGTCAATAATTACAAAAATGGACTAATTAGTTTTGAAAAAATCAGCTAATAGTTTGGTGCGGCTATAATTTTGCACCAGATGCCAAAACGACTTCTGGTAGTTACTCGATAAGTATTAACCATTACAAGTCGAAATTTCCGCTATCGTTCCCTTCCATCACACAGGCCTCAAAAGCCGCAACAGCCTCATACAGAAACAATTCAGTCGTTGTCACTCTCAAGAACCTCGGGTGCGGCTATAATTTTGCACCAGACTGTATCAGAACCTCTTAGTGATATAACAAAACAAAATCACGAAATGGTCAACAGAGGGATATGAACAATTCTGTTACTTAATGAGTATCAGGCTATTCGTTCTATGGGACCAAATCCGAGTCATTATTAGGTTTGTAACCTAATCAAAATATCAATTGTCATCCTACCTCTCTCGTCAGACAAAAAATTATTTTCTAACACTAAACAAAAGTACGAGGGGTATGAGAAGGAGTTCGTGGCGTGGTGCACCGAAGAGCAGCTCTGTGACGGTGCGACTGTCACCAAAGGCAGGTTGCATCACTTTCTGCCTGAGGAAGTTGTGGGGAGAGAGTAAAAAAAGAAGAAGGACCCGACTGTTGGAGGACCGACTGTGTGTGGCTACGCAAATGCTGTGGTAGACTTATATAACTAGCAAGTGGCACTTCGAGTAAACTCCAATGATCACCCACGGCCCGCTCAAGCGAAGCAGTTGCTAAGAAATGTACAAGCTCAAACTACTGGAATTAAGAAAAAGAATTATCAAGATTGGCTCGCTTCTAGATTGATACCATTCAGAATTAGAATCCAATTTTTGTGCAGTAAGACTTGAACCAAGCCAATATCCTACGAAACACATAAGAAGAGCTATGAAGCAGTTTTTAAGCAACTCGGTTTGACATTTGGCAAAACAAAAACGCACACTAACAGACAACAGAGTGTCAGACAGCTGGAAAGTGCCGATGTTGACATATCCCAAACACGCAGGTACGGGCGTTGTGGTATCGATACAGTAGAGGCGGTGCTGTTCAGAAAATGCAAGGAACGCTTACCCTAGTACTTCAAGGCGAAGTCGCCTACCGTTTGCTACCTGTTCAAAATAACAGCAACGAAGTGAATAACAAATTATCAGTTCACATTACTGCAGCCAACACAAACGTACCAGCCATGACCCTCCCACAGGCGTCGCCAAATGCTATTGAAAGCCCTCACCACTATTTGATGTGTCGTGGCGTATCTACTGTACTCCAGCAATGGACTGAGTGGCATGAGGGAATAGCGAATCGGCCTTCCATCGAGTCACTAGAGTGCAAATACGGTACGAAATGGCGTTCATAAATAAAGAGTCAAACTTCCTATCGTGGCGCTTATATGTCATCAAATACGTACGGTGCCATATACACGGCGGGCTATCCATCGATTCTGCGGTTTACAAGGTAGATAATGAGCGTGGTCCCAGAAAAAGCGATGCATTCTCTAAGTGGTTACGCAGTCAAGACAGCATTAGTCATAGTTAATTTTAATTGGATGGACTACATCACACTCGTCCCCTCAAGTTTATCAGGATTCAACTTGTAGATGCTACAGTATACGCATCACATAAAATAATTTCAAACTATTATTGCGTTGTTAGTCGCCATTACCTTCAAGCTGCGTATGTACCAATTCGTAGGACCCCCTTCGCGCAAATATAAGTCTTGAGGCAAAGTTTGAGCGCGTCGCATAGTTATCCTAAGTCATCACAATAGTTAGTTTTACTTTCGATCAATTCACAGCAAATACGAGCAACACACCGACCTCTGTTAGAGAAGCGCACAATGGAATAGCCTGTAAACGTGTTCGGTGTCTTCTTCCGAGAAAACTGTCAGGCGCTGTAGCTTCCCAGTGTTCTTGCTGAGATTCATTGTCTGATCAAACTGGATTAGCGTAAAGGGCTGCAGATTTTATTGTACTTGCCGTTGTAGGTAGCCCTACCTGCGAGCTTCGACGTATATGCCCGCGTGGCTTGCACCGCCGGAGCGTTGCGCTGTAGTAGCGGCACAGCGTTGACTAATCGGCGGCGTACGAGGATGTCTCTTTCGCTCAAGAAGTCTGTCCAACCAGGGACTGGAAGCTTAGTACACACATTTTTTACCAATAAGAACGCCGTATTTAGGTCATGACCTTGCGGCAGATATCTGGACATACCATCTCTAAAACCGCCGGTTACTTCGAGTATCAAGTCTGAAGTCATGACCAAGTCATGACTTTTTCTGTTGCACTTATTTCTACCTGATTGCTAATAATCGCACCCACTCTGAATCGTGTTTAGTTGCAAATGTGGATTCACATGGATCTACAGAAACGCCCACATCATAATCAAAGCAAAAAGGCAGTATGAAATCAAACCCGTCCTTCTAGTCTTGAATGTTTCGTATGAGCAATCGTGCGAACACTGCTGTATACAAGACTGCCAAAAAACGGAAGAGCCTGCGTACGTAAGCTTGCCGATCAGCACTAGCACTTTGAGTAAATTTCCACCAAATAGTTTGAAATGGATCTTTGCGTTAGTTATGGGCATGTACAAACATAACAAGTCAATTCGTTTGCGGTTCAATCATTACTACTGTTTTATTTGCGTTGATATAGTTAGAATCTTTCATGCTCTCTAATACATAAATGGTACACTGACACATGTTATTTCAGCATAGCGCTATTGAGCTGACGTAAATGCAGTATTTAAGAAGAATGTATAAGTGCAGCACCTATGCTCGCTGCACTTTTGGTGTATTTATGTACTTTCATTGCACACCGTACTCTTGTATAATTAATAAGTTGTTCGACGGCTTTGTGCAATAAGTCATTGACCCTTTCGTGCCATAATGGTTCTTGGAGTTCTTTGGGCATTCTCGCCAAGGACGCAACGATCAGGTCCTGAAAGGGCGTCTATATCGTTTATGTTTTTGCGTTTTTATATTCTCGATCACGCCTGTTTGATTCATCGTGACGAGGAAGCTTGGCATACTATACACGATATGTTTCTTATTCGCGATGTAGTTGCTGGAGCAGTGTCCTAGAAGAAAGAACGTTTCAGCCACGAGCTCACCACCACACGTTTTTTTTTATTTTTCAACCAATTTGTCTAGGTGGCTATTTAACTGTTTTGGGCGTTTTAGCAGTCACATTGGTCAGCTTCTGCATTCGATATACACCAACAGCAAGCGACCAAGTAACTACATCGGTGTTGATGTATACAACCATTTTGTTTCAAGAATGACCCTTCTGTCTTACATACCACTTGAAAACAAACAGAACAAGAAAGACACATTCCCAAAACAAATGCCGCCTCGCAAATACGAAGCGCATATGAGGAAGGGGTACAATTTGAGCAAAGGTTGAAAAAACAAAACTGTAATGCAATATACAATTGGGATTTGCAATATAATGGTTAACTATTGGGGCTAGTCAGCTACAATACAATATGATATTGGATAAATTATTGGCAATAAATATGGCAAAGTAGATCCGTTAGAACCTGCGAAATCTTCTCGTTTGGTACTATGGTACGAACAAACAGATCTGATGACATCAATTTTGGGTCTCTTACACCACAATCGTGTCGATATTTAGCCGGTGGCTACCGGTGCACCCTCAAACCACACCTCCCGTCTCCGGCATGTAGTGCGGAAGGCCATTTTAAAGACATAAATCAATCTTCTCTGATTTTGACAATGATGGTCATCAACAAGGAAATCACTGCCTATTTCTACACATCCCATGGCCAGAGGCTCTTTCGTTGCAATTCTTCGGTAGCGAGCGGAAGCAAACTGGAGGACAGGGTACCAGTAGTTCAGGTCGCTCAGTTATATAACATTGTTTCAGAAGAAAACCATCCGTTTCAGTGGATCCAGTGGATTATCATGCGGAACATGCCCATCCGCGAAGTTGAAGATAATCGTACACGGTCCATGAGCAAGCCGCGGTCTGTTACCATAACAGAGGTGAAGAAGTGCTTTGAAGGTCCCGCAATAAAGGTCGGGCAAAAGCTTGAAATGGAACTTGGCACACTGTTTGGTCTGATGTTCGATGAATGGTTACATGCCGGCGTGCACTATGTCGAAGGTTTCGCAAATTACGAGACAGATGGCGAGCTGCGGGTTCCTCGTCGGGTCTATCCCCTCGGGTAGATGATTCGCTGACAACATATGCGCATGTCAAGTTGTTTGAAAATATCCTGGATGTTTTTTTGCCTAGACGACAAACATAATTGGATTTCTAGTGGGCGACAACTGCAGTAACAATCAGTCCGTGGCGAAAACGTTTGACGTCCCCCTAGTTGGGTGCGCAAGTCACCGACTCAACTTCGCAGTGAACACGTTCTTGGCCCCACATGAGGTTCAGCCAAGAAAACAACTGCCCCGAGATAAGAAGCACACGGAGCTCCTTCTGTAAAACGAAACGAGACTCGCTGGTCATTCACTTTTGCTATGACACTGATACACATCCGAGTCCGATCTGTCATCAAGAAGGTGAAATCCGTGGAAAAATGTATCCAAACAGGCTAGAAGTACCGTAAAAGGCTCGAGCGTATGTAGAAGCTTGAATGCATCTGCCTGCATTTACAGCGTGATGACACGGACATGGCTGAGATATGAGTCATGTTTGACGCCCTTATCGCTGAGATCTAGTCATGGGAGAACATCTGCAGGCAACTGCTAAGATTGAGCGGTGACCGGTATTTCAAAACGCCGTTATGAAGGCGATTACTGGAGCTTTACTTTCATCAAAAGAAGCTTTGAGAGTGAAGCTTTTTGAGGTAGTTCAAACAACAAACAAGAAGCGTAAAACAAGAGAAGAAGCCTACGCATCACAGCTGCTTCGAAGCCGAGGCAAGATGCGCAGTCCGACATCAAGCATGACACAGTACATGCCACTAGGCAAGATAATACCACCAACTTCCAACATAGTTGAGCGGCTGTTTTCAAAGTACAAGCCAGTCCAGACACCGCAGCACCGCAGCACCGCTCCAAATATCCTACCAACTTCATGCAGCTAGCTACACGTCCAAACGTAGCGGAATTGGAACAGGAAGAGGCCGTGTTGCCCTGGTGTAGCCCTCTTATTGAAACTTTAGATGATAATACTGACGCCGAAGATGACACTTCCGGTTTTGAAGACGTCCCCGACATGTTTGCTGCCGAAAGCCGGTAGTGCTAAAAAAAAAAACAATCTAATTAAGATGGGCAAGAATACCACATAGGGTACTGGGTAGGGTACCTCGAATTGACTAGGTAGCCAGCATACGACCTCCCAAAAAAGCATGATATCGACCTTCAACTATGAAGAGCTTAAGGTGGTTTGGCCAGTCGCCTACTGGGTTAACATACACAGTGGGATCACTCTACTCGTCCAATTATCCTACTCGTCTAGTCACCGGTGGTGTAATCAACGTACCGTAATCTTCGCGGGATAGTGTTGGACAGGTTCAGGAACCGGTATATACCGTCATAAACCGGTAACCTAAATACATAGCAAAAAGTGCGGTATCATCATCTCAAGAAAAATTATTTGGTCCATCGAATGTCGATGAGGAGGAACAAGATGGTGGGGCACCGCAATCTCTGGACTCGAAGTCTAAAATCAAAGCGACAAGGAAAAAGGCCGCCCGGCCGATGCAAAGCTGAAGATTCAGTCTTAAAAAGATAACGAGCAGAAAGAAAATAAGTCGACCTATAAGTATTCACAGATATATTTGCACTTGCAACATGAGAACGAGCAGGAAGAAGACAACTGACCGATATACAGTCGCATTCTCAGAGCGAGAACAAGCACCAAGAGGTAGGACAAGAAGATATTTTCGATGCGATCTCCAAATGCGGCATATGCTTATCCACGAAAGATGTTTTTGAACAGGTGGAATAAGCAAATGACGATGACGACACGTCCTTGTCTATTAGTTCTGATATGCACGCCTTGCTCAAGGAATTCAATGGTTCCCTTATTTGAGGTCTTCTTGGACGATAAGAATGCAGGATGCCAAAGCTAGCACCTGCGCAACGACGACTTTAAAACGGACGAAACCTAGTACTCCTGTTGCTACTTAAAGATAAAACACCGCCAGGGCGTCTCGAGCTACTTCGTCGGTAATCCAAACGTGCCTGCCAAAGCTACTCCGCGGCGGAATGCAGCCACCAGCGCAGCGCCAGCTACATCGGTAGTCAGTGACGCTAGCAGAAAGCCGAGCAAAGAAAGGAGCGGAACAAAACGTACCTCGCATATCTAACCGGTATAAATCGCATCTAAGAATTGGAACGTGCCAGGAGCCATCTGGAGGCACAAACAAATGTAATACGTGTATGTTTGAAATTGTGACTCGTGTGATTGGCAACCCCGAATACGGTTCAAGGCAACTATCGTGGTCGTGAACAGAGGCTCAGAGATATCGAGGTTACCGCTAAGGGGTTAGCTGGAAGGAGTTCCAAAAACTGATCCGCTACCTTAACATGCTCCAATTCGAACGTGTTGGGAGGCAGATACATATTGCGGAGAGAATTGCACTCCTAAAAACCAATTGCCAAGATGCGGTTGTTGAGGACAGCATTTACTTTGGGTTCGGCCGTATGTGAAATACAAAGGGCCACGCGTTTGTAATTGAGGTGGTGAAAGCAGCGCATTTTATGCGTGATCCCGTTCTCAAATTGGAATACAAGGTGTCTCGTGAGCCGCAAATGATAGGCAACGAAAACGTCTATTGGATCCGCCAATAGGAAGAGATGTCTTGCGTGGTAATTGAAGAATATGAGTACAAATCTGGAAGGAAACATAGGAGACGCTTACGACGCGTCGCTAAATATGAAGAGGAGGCGCAACTAGAAACGTGTTACCAAGGGAGCAGAGGTTGTCGTGAAGTTTCAATGACTCGAGAGATAAACGGCGTCTCGGTGAGCAGGGTGAAAGATTTTGTTCGAAACCAGAGGCCGGAAAATACAATATCTTATTGATATTTAATCCGGTAGTTAATTTTAGCGGACTGGCTTGTGTTAGCCCTGTCGTGAACGGGCGCTTTTGACGTTGCTTCAGCAGAGAAGGGCGATTCCGCCTCGTGTACACACAAAATGTAATGAAAGGGGTATTTTGCCCCCTTTCGTAGGCGACACGAGTAGTTCTCGAGGGGTAGCATGTCCTCATGGACCACGAATGCGTTAGTAGCCGTAATCCATAGTACATGTTGTTATTAGTTCTGTTACTGATCACTAAAACGGCACAGGTACTTAAATCTGAAGCGATTGTAAAGAGATCGAGAGTTTCTTTTTTTTGTTCTGGGAAAGGTAGTGCTTAGCAAAGCTTTTGCTGCATTTCACTTAGCTGGATGATGCATGATTTTAAGTCCTATCGAGATTGTTTAAAAAATCGATGTTATAACGGGTCAGACATCTAGTTAGAGCAGCTAATCAATCGTGGTAGGACAAGCGAAATCGAGTGCTCATAGTCGGTTTAACGACAAATCGAAGTCAAAACCCTGAAATGCCACTCCTTTGCGCCTTTGAAACGCAAATTGAGGCCAGATATAATACTTCCAGGTCTGCCTTTTTGCAATCTCATTTTACGCATGATTTACCAGGACGCCCACCAAAAACGAAAAAAACAACAATCCATGCAGCCATCGATCATCCAGTTCTGCAGCTCTTAAACTAAACCAAGCAGCAGCTAGCTACGTTTTTAGTAGAAACAAGCAGTATTGAGCCGGCTATGTTTAAAAAAAATGGTTCTACAAGTTTTATAGTAAATTACAGATACCGGTTTGTTGTGGGAGAACTGGGGTCCAAGTGGGGCCCCGGGGTCCCGCCAAACGCTTAAGTTGTGGTGGGAGGTTTGAACGACACGCACGAAATTTATAAGTTATCAGGGTTTCGTTTATTGAAAATTACTTCCTCTGGCTGAGAATGATTGCAAGGGTCGTAATCAAACGCATGTCGATTGACCAAAACTCAGTCAAAGGGTAATTGGATCAAAATAAATCTCTGCATCATCGCCATCGATTCCGGGTGACAGCAACTCAAATGGACATCTGTAGCCCCCACAGTGATTATATTGGCTCATGCCGTCCAGCTGTTACTTTCGTTTTTACTCTGCAGCACCTAAACAACCTCCTTCACCGAACTACAGAAATAACCAAGTCTAGCTTTACCGATTTTTCAACGCCACCACATCATAGACGAGCTTTCAAAGAGGAGCGTGGGCGGAGTTCTGCCATTTCGAACGCAAGCAGACGACACCAGAGAACTTAATTCTTCGGAAGTTACAATTAGTAGGCTGGGCCAGCGCTACTGCGAGACAAAAGCAGTTGGCAGTCCTTGAGAGTGGAGGAGCCGCATCAAGCAAAATTTAGGATGGAGAAGATGGACTGGGACGTCATCGCTGCAAAGGTTCGAGCCGTTTCGATTAAAGAACGGAAGCCTGTTCGACTCCTTGCTGACACTTCCGGTGTGTCAAGGAATCTAGTACGAGGCCTAATACGAGAGGGAGTTATTAAAGTACAATCAACTCGTATTAACCCGTGTCTGACTGAGGAAAACAAGCTTTGACGGATGGAATATGCTCTGACTTTTTTCGACGCAGCGACCCTCGCTTTTGAGCCCATGCTGGAGATTGCCACGTAGGAGCAAGAACCACACTCCCAAGATGTTTTTTTATGCAGCAGTGGCAAGATTGAGGTAAGCACTGCTTACATTTCTTATTTCTAACTTCTTATTGTATAATAGAAAATACGTTTAACTTTCGTAGATGAAACCCGCACAAAATGAAGACATGGGACGGTAAAATTGGGGTATGGCCGTTAACTGAGAAGTTCAAAGCACTTCGCAAAAGTATGTATCGGGCTAGAGGGGAGGGACGCACTCGAAATATCGGTTCTATTGATCATAAAGTGTACGCATGGTACTTGATAAACCATGAAATACCTGCTTTCTAAACGCATTGACCACATGGAGAGAAGGCCGATCTTGATTCTGCAAGATAATGCCAAGCCACACCGATCCAGACATCTTGGGGGTTGCCACCACTAACTTCTGGTGCATTCGGCTCTTGTATCAACCTTCCAACTCGCCCGATCCAACCTTAGATTTGGACTTGGTCGCTTCTTTACAAAAACTTCCAGCTGCGTCACTCAGGCTACAGCATCGAGAATCGCATTAGGCTGTTCAGGACGCATATGAGGTCATGAATACAGATACGCTTGACGATATTTCTCTCACTCTTCAAACGTGCATGAAGTGTATTTTTAAGGAAGGCGGGAGCAACGAGTACAAAATGCCTCATGCTGGTAAATTCAAGCTTAGAAGTGAAGGTAGGCTCCCGACAAGCTGTAAGTGTGATCCAGACCGTACACTAGCGCCCTTGCCATTCCCGAGAAGGCGGGTAGGTCGTTCTCATTCCAGTTGTAGTTTATCACGTCTAAGTCATTTTTGTTATTCCTTACATCACCTTAACTCAAGTCTGAAACCTACTCACTGTCATACAACATTCTTGCAATCATTTTCAGTCAGAGGAAGTATCTTGAAGTTTCTATTAAACCTTTTTGTTTGATCGTTACCAGTTTAATTCATGAAAAAAAATCACTTCACCTGTCAAACCTACCTTAACTCTGAAATAAAATTCGGAGAACAATGAAAATAGTACTGCCCTTTCTCGTGTCGTAGTTGAAATTTCTAAAAAATTGACATCCAATAGGCAATTGTAGCGAAACCCTAAAGAGAGGAGGTAGATCGAACATACAAATGTGTTAAGCGCACACAACAACAAAAGGTAAATGCACAGACCTCTACACACAAGTGCACGATCCCAATGACGTCACAAAGGAAAATCGCCGACGTCATTAGGCACGCTCGCCTTCACATCCATTCATTACAAAAATAACTACAGCTGCTACGACACAATCAGATCAAAAGGTGCCGCACACTAGGCAGAGCTGTAGTGAAGCGCCAGTTGGCTTTCACGAATAAGAAAACTGATTGATGGGAAATGACCCGATCCAGCCCTGAGACTCATGGTCGACGACGGCGCGTCAGTGATTACGTCATCA